CCAAGCCGGGGTGTGGATTTTTCCCCCCTGGGGGGTTTCCTTCGGAAAAAAACCCTTATTTTTTTGGTTATTAAACCAGGGGGGGTTTTTTTTCTTTTTTTTTCCCCCCATTTTTTTTTAAAATTTAGGCCATTTTTTTCCCTTCCCCCCTAACCCGGTCCCTACGGAAAATTCCCCCCCCCCCCCCCCCCCCCCCCCGCGCCCTCTATTGTTGCTTGTCCCTCGTTCCCTATGTATATACATATCCCTGCATACACGCATGAACGACCCTCGCGCGCGAGACAGGCACCACGGGTATCAGGAGGAGGAGGTGGAGGAGGAGCGGAAGGCTTGGGCGTGGCGCGCTCGGGTGGTAGATCAGGGCAGGGGTCGGGGAAAGGGTTCGAATCGGGAGGCACACAATCATTGGGGAGTTGGAGAGGGGGAGGGGGTTCCGGAGCAATAGCGGCACCTTCGGCAGCAGCAAGAGCCGCCGGCGCCTCAGGGAGCAGTCAGACGGAAGCACGCGACGCTGGCGGGTATGGGCCCAGAGCCCTCAACGCCGGGTCGAGCGGGGCGAGCTCGGGAATGATGGGGAGAGGCTCGGGGGCTCGCGGAGGAGTTGCGGGGAGGAGAATGTCGTCGGGCCTTGGAAACGTCGAGGTTTCCAACAGCGCCGGGCGTGTGCCTGGGGGGGTCGGGGACAGCGGCAGCGGATCTAAGCCCCGCAGTGGCCGCTACACTCGGTTAGCGAGGTACGGTCCGGCGCTTGGCTCTGGCCAGGCTCAGGGATCAGCCTCGAAGCAGTACAAAGCGCCGCAGGCGCGGGCGTACAACCTGCGCTCGGGAGCGGCGCAGTTCAGCGCGGCCGCTATGGGTCTTGGGGGAAGCAGTAGTGATGTCGGAGGTGGCGGGGGCGGGGGCGGGGGCGGTGGTGGTGGTTTTGGCGCTGGGAGTGCTGGCACTAGCGGTCTGACAGCGCAGCGAACAGGCTTGGGAGGTGTGGCGGCGGCAAAGCCGCCATATGCGGTTGTGCCTGGGGGCAGCGGTGGGGTAGTGCCGTCGTACGGAGGCCGAAGAGGGTCAAACACGACGACAGTCGGTGTCGGAGGGGGCAGTTCAGGAGGGTATGGAGAGGGGGGCGGGGTTGGTTTCGGGCGGCATAAATACGGCTGAACGTATTTTTCACGCGCTTTTTCTTTCTTTGGCTCGGAGAGCGTGACTACTTGCTTTACACTCGTTATTTGCACATTAGTGTGTCTTGCTTGCACGAGTGTATATTTTTCCCAGTGCGTGGCACGCAGTTTTGAGAGATGTATGCATAGGATATAGATGAAGCGGAAGGAAATATTGTAAAAAATGGTACAGAAGACTAGAAATTTTCCCTCTAAATACAGGAGCGGTGATTTCCCGTGTATTGGTTCTCTCTTTGTATTCTGTCTACTCCGAGGAGATAATGTGAAACGTTTGCTGAAGGACCTTCCTTTCCTCAGGCATTTTTTGTCTTCTCTGGATTTTCCTAGTAAATATGCGTACCACACAATACGTTTCATGTAGGGGGCAGAGGAATCTGAGCCTCCACCAATAACGCTACTACTGCTGGTGTGTTTCTGGTGAGCATGTGCAGCCCGAGCGTTCTGTTTAGAACGGGCGGCAAGAAACGGCAGCGGAATCAATCGCAGTGAGCACAAAGACGACATCAATTTTGGCAAGGAGCAAGGAGAGCAATGAGGTGGATGAGGCTTAGAGTTTGGATGTATGTGTGTGTGTGCCGACCGACCGACCGACCTAACCCAGTGCAATTGGGATGCATTTTTCCGGTGGCATCTGCTGACTATGATGGACGAGCATCTAGCGCGTCGCTGATGATGTGATCGTTGTCTATCGTGCCAGACATGGCTCTGAATGTGTTCACATGAAACTTGGTCGTACTATGCATACAATTGTACATGCTATCTTAACTCATCACTCGCCACAACAGAGCACATGTTGTGCGCGACCTTGGATCCACGTTCATATATTTGTTGTTTTTCCCGAGCAGAACTCACTGATGATGGTGTATCTAAATAGCGGTCTTTTCCCGGCAAGGACATCAGAATATCTTCAAGGTATACGATGCTACGCAGCTCCTCATCTCCTCTGATCGCATTCATTCGAATCTGGGAGGGGCTTTCCGCGGAAGGAAGCGATCGAATTTCCTTCCCAGCCCCATCTCCGGACCCAGAGGTCCATCGGTGGTGGATCAAGTGGATACCGAAGTCATTCGATATGGGGACGACATTGCGTTGTTTGTAGGAGCTTCCCCCTATCGCGCCTACTCTCTGGATAATTTGTTGTATTTCACCCTTTTCTCAGCAGTAAGATATCCACATCCGTCGACCAAGCACAGGGACAAAGATCCAAGTCCACATCCGTCCGTCGACCACCGCGCAAAGATAAAGCTGAAAGATCCAGACGGCACGGTACACATGCATACCTTGATTTTCTCCATTCTGCGACGCCCCCTCGTGTGTCGCTTTGTGCCGAGCTTACACACAGCAGACAACACAGCCCGCTCTGTCCTTGCCCCGAGCGGGAGGAGACAGTATGGCCGACTATAGTACAGTGAGGCGTAATGTTGGGGTCATCAGGTGAGCTCTATTGCACCGGTCTTTGCGCATATTTGGCATTGTGAGCCGATCAAACGAACATGCATCATGTGTAGCCTCGTGCAGTGCACCTCAACTTGTTTCCTCCGCTTGCTGGAGATACGATGTGAATGTCCACAATGGCAGCTCGATAACCTGTACGCCCTGCCTCCATAACCGTATTTTCCTCCGTAGGCTGCGCAAGCCGCCCCTCAACCCCCTGAGTCACGACGTGCGCGCCGGCATACTCGAGGGGCTCAAGCTTGCGCAGGATGATGAGGCGGTGTCGCTGATCGTCATCACCGGGGGAGACAAGGCCTTCAGTGCAGGAGCTGACATCAAGGAGATGGCCTCTGCGCATGCCGTGCGCCGTGAGCCTGACCTGCTCACCGTCGTTGGTGCAATCGAGGCGTGCACGGTGCCGGTTGTTGCGGCTATTGGCGGCGTAGCTCTCGGGGGTGGTTGTGAGGTGAGGCAAGGTAATACGCGCGTGCCGAGACCCGGCTCGTGTCAGAGAAAGCTTATGCTGTCCCATGTTCCTCTTCCGTATGCACGTGTAGGGGTGTGGTGGGCATATGTTGTGCGAATGCATGTACACATGCATATGCATATCACTTCGCTTTGATCGAATAACCTATCCTGGGTTTCTGTGGAGTATTAGTATTTCAAACCATCTCCATTCCTGCCGTCTCCTGAATGACTCGTCAGAAACCTCACACAGAAGATACCACCCCCCTTGCAGCAGCAGTACGGCGGTGTTCACATGTTCGTGTACGATATGCATAGATGGCTGCGAGTGTGCGTTCGAGGTTGCGGCGGGGTCAACCCGTAGCAGCCCTCTAACAGGCTGCAGGTTTCCCTGTAGACCCAGGCCATTTCCGCAGACAGGTTTACTGCTGTCCCTCTACTGCTGTCACCGTAGGTAGACACGGGACCGTGCTTTTTCGCCGAAGGGACTACCGCAGTACCAATGATAGTATTCAGGGAAGAACATGGTACATTCTGTAGTCCGTTTGAACAGCCCATGGAGTACTGAGCTGATATGAAGGCACACGGCGCACTGCTGAAAGGTACGTCGTTTGGTGCATGCTCCGCGTCTCTGCTGCACCTACCTATGTAACGCGTGGTGTCTCGCGCCCAGGTCGCGCTCGCGTGCCACCTGCGAGTGGCCTCTCCAAAAGCATCCCTTGGCCTGCCAGAGGTGCTCATCGGACTGCTGCCGGGGGCCGGCGGCACCCAACGCCTCCCGCGCCTCGTCAAGGCCGAGATGGCGCTGAGCATGATCACCACCGGAAAGATGGTGAGTACCGTAGTGTTGCCATGCAGGAGGGACAGAGGAGTAGCGGGGGACGTGCGTCTCCCGACGGGTAAAGCTTGGCGCTGTCCTTTTCGAGTTGCGCCGTCATTCTTTTTTGGGCTCTCTGTCCAGCCTTTAATGCATCTTCACTTTTTGTGCCATCCTAGCACGAGGGAAAACACGTAGCAGTATCAGATCTGTATGTTCCGAACAGGTTTTGTGCAAAGGAACAAATCGAACCCTCGCTCGAGTATTACATGAGTGATGTGCGCGTGGGTTAACGCCGTCGAACGGTGCAACCCCGACGTGCGGTTTCCATCGCAGATCCCGGCGGCGAAGGCGTTGGAGGCAGGCCTCGTGGACCACGTGGTGGGCGCAAGCGCTCCCGACCTCGTTGAAGCGGCGGTTTCGTTTGCAAGGAGGCGTTTGCCTCAGGTCGCAGGGGGTCTCGACGCTTTGCGTACCGGAGGCAGGCTGCTCAAGGTGCAGTTCCAAGAACAGAAATTTCGTTGGCCGTGGTTCCCGCTGCAAAGGGACGATGATATCCAAGATAAAACGAAATGTTTACCCGTGTGTGTAGGGCTGTCTGTGTGGCTGCGCCACACCACTAGGTAGCGACCACAGCGAAATAAATTGCCATACAGAATATCGAAGTAGCGCGTCTCTTTCTCCCTCCCGTTCGTCCTCGAGTGCTTTTGAACACAACCTTACCCCAACCTAAAGCTGTGGCTCCTCTTAACCTTAAGCTCTCGTTCCTCTCCTTGTGGGCCGATTGCCCTATCCTATCCTATGGTAGGACCCCGTGCCTGTGGTGCTTGCGGTCTGCGACGCCGCTGCCGCGAAGATCGGTCCTCCCGTACGCGGTGCAGAGCCCAGGTGGTCATGCGTCGAGGCCCTGAGGGCGGCGGCCGCTGGCGACGGCTTGGCCACGGGGATGGCGAGAGAGGGGGCGTTGTTCTCGACGGTTAGTGTTCTGATGCTGGGCGGAAAACGTGCATGGTGTGATGTGTTGCTGGGGGGTTGACGTGGCACGTTGCGGGGGAGGCGCGTGTTGAAACGCGGGGGTCCGGAAAAAGCGCTGTTGATGGGCGGGATGAGTGAGGTGTTGCAGAGAGAATTAAATAGCTCCTTTCACTAGGTGAGGCTAATATCGCACATCTTGCAGCCGGTCGCTCACAACCGCTGCACACAAACCGCTCCAGCGTGTTCCAGCCATTGGCGTGCATGCGCCTCACTCACCTTTCCTCTCCCCCACCCGCCGCCAAAACCGAAAAACCTGCCCACAAAACAGTTGATCCAGTCGCAGCAATCTCGTGCTCGACGGCACCTCTTCCTCGCCGAGCGCGCGGCCTTCCGGATCCCCCGCACCCCGGCCGCGCCCCCCAAGGTCCAATCGGTCGGCGTTATCGGCGCCGGCACCATGGGGGCTGGCATCGCCATCGCATTCCTGTTCGCGGGGTTCAAGGTCACCCTGGTCGATGCCAAACAGGTCTGCTTCAGCCGCGGGTGGGACGAGTGTTGGTTGTCGGAGTGTTGATGGTGCTTGCGCCTCACCGATTAGCCTTACTCGTTGTTTTGCGAACCTCGCGGCGAGATCGGCTTTCTCGCCCGAAAAGTTTTCGCGGGGGTATGGGTGTTGGTACGTGACCGGACCGGTTAATCGCTCCCCCACCTCGCTTTCCTGGGCCGGCGAAAACCCGGCATGTCCTTCCGTCCCGGCAGTGTAGAGATGCGAGGCCTATGGTCTTACGACTACGGCATGCGTTTACATGATGAGTACACTCCCCTTTCCGCGTATCTGTGGCTCTATGTGCTTCTGTAGGAGAACTTGGACAAGGGGCTCGCCTACCTGCAACGCGGGGTCCTCTCCGCCGCGAGACGAGGCAAGATTTCGAAGAAGACTGCCGAAGCAACGAAGGCGCTTCTGAACCCAGCCCTCAGCATCGACGCCACCAAGGACTGCGACATGGTAAGCGAGCGAGCCTGGCCGGCGAGGGGAGGGTCGAGCTTGTCGCGAAGCGTGATATATTTCCGGGGATGTGCCGTGAAGTTGTCCGGTATCGGAGCACGCTCACTGGCCTCGCAGCGTTTGAGGGGAGAGCGGGGGGGGGCGGGGGGCATCCGCACACCGAGCAAAAGAGAGAGTTAAGGGTTTATCGTCTTTTGCTCTTTTGCGCGTGTGGTGAGGGTTTCCGATGCGACATTTGGGAGGCGAGATGACGATTGTTTTTGATAATGACCTCCGCGGGGGGTTTTGCCGTTCCTCTTCCACTACAACCAGTTCGCAACCCCCCCCCCTCCCCGCTCACTCGGTGTTTGCCATCGGGATTGGGTTTTCGTCGCTTGGCAACGACGTTGTAAAACAAGCCAATTCACTTCGTGAACTCGGCAACCAGGTTACCGTTTGTTTTTTTTTACCTCGGTTATCTTTTTGGCGGTAACCAGAATGGTGGTCGAGTAGATCATGTTGTGCGGGGTCGAGAACCCTCACTCCGCGCAACGGGGGATGATCGCACCACGTTGTGTTAAAATGGTCAAGCTTCCTCGAGGCAGTTACACAGTGCTCACAACTGTCTCTGGAAGTGAAAGCACCAGAAAATAAATTAAGTCATACGTAGCTGTCATCCGTACGCAAGGAAGTAAGCACAAGATGCCGAACACCCTTAGCAGGATGCAGGTCACCCTTCATGGGACTCGCCAAATACCTCACGGCGTTTCGCGCTTGGTGATGTGAGAGCCTGGTCCGGTGAGAACCCGGCATGCTCCGTCCCGGCTTTGTAGGGATGCGAGGTCAATGGTCAAACGGCTACGGCATGCACGACTATGAGTACACCCCCCCCCCCCCCCCTCCCGCATCACTCCGCCTCCTCTTGCTGCTTGCTCCCGCCTGTCTGTATTTACGACTGCTGTGTGGTGCGTTGACAAGGGCAGATCGTAGACGGCCGTGTTCGAGAACATGGGCCTGAAGAAGCGGACTCTTCGAAGCAGCTCGACTCGGTGTGTAAGCCATCCGCCATCCTCATGCAGCAACACCTCCACGCTAGACATCGCACCAGATTGCAAGGGCAACCACACCGAGTGAGAGATGTTTTAGCGTGCCTCGTGGGTTCGGTTCTGTGCGTCTCTCAAATTCCATCAGCGAAAGTGCGTGTTTCTGCGGTCCTTTGGCCGTATGTGCTGGGGAATCCGTCCCGTTGAGCCCTGGTGCGGAAGATTTACGGTAGACTTGGCTGTCTGCACCACCATGGTAAAGATGCTGCACGAAACAGGCATGGTTTGGTTTCGTCGGTCGGCCCACCGTGTCCAGCTGGGGACGGCCCTCATTCGCACTCCGTGGCGGTACATCTCGTCGCCGTCTGTCCGTGTGGTGTGAGCCTGTCCCGTGACATCTTTTCCACACACCTTTTTCTTTGATGTTTTTCGTTGTGTGCTTGGCATTGTGTTTGCTGTCCTGTCTCATGCCCGCATGGCATTATATCTGAAAAACTCAAGACCGTCGAGCGTGATGGGGATGCACTTCTTCTCTCCGGCGCACATGATGCCGCTGGTGGAGTGCGTGAGGGGGGCGGACGCGTCGCCGCTAACCATCGCCGTCGTCATGGGGGCCACCAAACGCCTCAAGAAGGTTTGGGTGCTGCATGGACTATCGGCGTTGGGACTGTCGCTTACAGACAGCCTCTTCTCTTTCGCAAAGTGTGCCAATCAGCAGCTAGCTGCCTACAATGTATTTCCTCGGAGTATGCCATGGTATTTTTGTGAGGCGGTCGTGCTAGAAACGAAATTCTTTTTTGTCTCTTGGATGTTTTGTCTTTAGAAGAAAGAAACAAAAAAGTATACTCCTATGCTATAGAGGGCGAAACTGGTGTGACTGAAGTTTTCGACGTCTCTCGGCCGATATCGTGCATCCTGCTGCAGCAGCTGCCGATTTGTACGGCCTCGGCTTCGTAGCCCTTCAAAGCTACGTAGAAGTACCACGACGACGCACATTAAGCTAGAGCGGGCGGAAGACACGTTTCCGACTAAGCGCTTGTTGATGCTGGTGAATGTCCGGCGGACATCTTTTGTGTGTCCATCAAAGCCTCTGCATCAACTTTCCGAAAGTTGTTCCACGAAAAATTATTATTTTCCGTCGGTAATTTGCGGATGGAATCGCTGCCTTCCACTCTCGCTCTCTCCATGTGAGCGCTGAGCGGACCTGGTAAGTCTCAACAGGACAAGAAAACAGGTTGACGAACACCTGTGATGATCTCAAAAGCAAAGGAGCAGGGAAGGTAGCCTACTCCCTCCCCATTCCGTTTTGTTTCTTTGCCCCTCGTCACAACGCCCGACAATTCAACCCCCTGCTCACCCCCCTCGCACGGTCGCATCGTGCGTTGGCGTAGATGCGTAACCGAAAACGTGCTTCTCATCCCCCTACCCGCCCCCCCCTCCCTGACGCCACTCGGTGTTTGCCATCGGGGTTTGGGTTTTCGTCGCTTGGCAACGACGTTGTAAAACAAGCCCCCCACTCGGTGTTTGCCATCGGGATTGGGTTTTCGTCGCTTGGCAACGACGTTGTAAAACAAGCCAATTCACTTCGTGAACTCGGCAACCAGGTTACCGTTTTTTTTTTTTTACCTCGGTTTTTTTTTTTGGCGGTAACCATAATGGTGGTCGAGTAGATCATGTTGTGCGGGCGAGAACCCTCACTCCGCGCAACGGGGGATGATCGCACCACGTTGTGTTAAAATGGTCAAGCTTCCTCGAGGCAGTTACACAGTGCTCACAACTGTCTCTGGAAGTGAAAGCACCAGAAAATAAATTAAGCCATACGTAGCTGTCATCCGTACGCAAGGAAGTAAGCACAAGATGCCGAACACCCTTAGCAGGATGCAGCTCACCCTTCATGCGACTCGCCAAATACCTCACGGCGCTTCGCGCTTGGTGATGTGAGAGCCTGGTCCGGTGAGAACCCGGCATGCTCCGTCCCGGCTTTGTAGGGATGCGAGGTCAATGGTCAAACGACTACGGCATGCACGACTATGAGTACACCCCCCCCCCTCCCTGACGACTATTTCTTTGTGATCTCAACTAGGTTGGAGTGCTTGTCGGAAACTGTGACGGTTTTGTGGGGAACCGCATGTTGAAGTGGTACACGGCGGAGACGGAGTTCATGCTGGAAGAGGGGGCCTCTCCGGTTGAGGTGGACCGGGCGGTCAAGGCCTTTGGGATGGGGATGGGTCCGCTCGAGATGTCGGATGTGGCAGGAAACGACATCTCTTACCTCATCAAGTGAGAGATGTTTGTGCTTGCCTCGTGGGTGGTCTTGTTTGGGACGTACCGTACCGCAAGAGGCGAAGAGGACAGATGGCATCCCCCCTAGACCGACCTTGAAAGCTCGATTCGATTCTCCACCACCACCAAGGGGGTGCGGGTAGAGCCCAACACGTGTACAGAAAGCCCTCGACGAGATGTTTCCAAAACCACCGTTTTTGGTGTTGGCACAAGCTTCAGCTTGGTTGTGGAGCAATCGAGCTTTGAAAATCGGTGTAGGCGGGTGCCATATCTCTGCCTCTTGCGGTATCGAGGCGGAACGTTCCACGGTTCGTTTCTCACGTCCGTGCCTGGTTCTGGTTGGAGTGGGCACTGGCGTTATGGCATAATGACGCTGTTGGCCCTGGGTCGTGCATGACACTTCCTCATTCGCCCGTGACTACGTGCGTACCTATCTTTAGGAAGGAGAGGGGTCTTCTGGACCCGGCGAAGCGGAATCCTCACGAGCGGTACTGCTCTCTGGGGGACAAGCTCGTGGAGGTTGGACGATACGGACAGAAAACAGGTGCGTCCCTTTTCTCGCTGTGTGTCGAGTCGAGCTCTTGCCTAGAGCAGCATCACGTGTTCGTCGATTGGTAAGCGTGGCCAACCTTGAGCGTTTCGTGGCGTGAAGTGGTTTCCAGCCCGTTGCTACATGATGGTGCGTTTTCCACGGGTCTTGGCGCCTTTTTCGTCTGGTAGTTGGTGTAAGCGATCGATTTGCGCGCTACGATTTCGTGGACTTTTGGTCCGCTGCTTGGTGCCAACAACCGTTCGTCTCTCCCCTCTGCTCACAGGCAAGGGCTGGTACGACTACGAGAAAGGGAGCCGCAAGCCGCTGCCGTCGCCGGAGGTTGCCGCTCTCATCGAAGCGCATCGAAAGGAGACCGGCAGGTTTGTGCGTTGGCCCACACCCTAGGCTAACAGACCACTCGTAAACACGCCTGCCTACCTGCCTCTCCTCTCTAATATATTGGCTATCCTGGTCTTGTCTGTTCAAGTCAGCAGAAAATGATTTTGTTGCGTGCGTTTCTAAGTGAGCGGTGTCGTAAACTAATTGCACTCGATAGATGCAAGAAAGCGACGTACACATCGGAGAGCCGGTCGAGAACTTGAGTATATCGCCGAATGGTTTTGCATAAGATGAAGCAAAGAGGTTGGTTGCCCCGGCAAAGGAGGCCAGTTCTTTGACAGGCGACTTGAAGCAACGTCGAAAGTGCTCCCCCTGAAGTGCTGTGCTGTACTGGTAGAACAGAAGCGTTCCCCCTTGTCTTTTCCCCTCCGCGGCACTCTCAAAAACCCTATATGCTTCGAGGAGCGGCAAACGCCTATAGCAGCAGCGGTGCTTCACCGGCAATACCGTCATCACGGACATTGTTTGACAACCATAGTTTTTCATGCCCCCTCCCCCCCCTCCCTCGGTCTTTCGCGCTCCGCGTGCCCCCTTCATCATCGGCCCAATCTGCCTCAGCCGGCCTCGAAAAATATCCCCCGAAGAGATCGTAGAGCGCTGTTTCTACGCCCTCATCAACGAAGGTTTTCGATGCCTGGAGGAAGGCATTGCTGAGCACCCCGATGACATCGACGTCGTGTGGGTGTACGGCTACGCCTGGCCCGGTTGGAGAGGAGGGCCCATGTTTTGGGCGGACGAGGTTGGCGCGCGTACGCTAGTCCGGCAGATGGTGAGTAGTGATTCATTGCTACATGGTACTACCTGTTATGCATGGAATTGCCAGCCCGAATTCATCCAATCGCAGTCGGCAGCTCATGCGGCTGCTGTAGAGCCGAGCGTTTGTTGTGTGCCGAGGTACAGGGGCGGGGAAACAAGTTGGTGGAGGGATGGGATGTGGCGCGACACGCCGTGCGCAGACAACGGGGAGCGAACGAGCGAGTGCCGCAATCTTACCCACAATGACCGCTGCGTCTTGGTGGTTTGCCTTGCTTACCTTGCGCTAGCATACAAATGAAATTCGGTGTTGCCTATGCGGAAACGGAAACGGAAACGGAAAACCCTTGCCGCGGTTGTCTTGTGCACTAGCAGTACACGGAATACTTGCTGTTAATGTGTCTGTAGTTCACCCCAATGCAAATAGACACCTGATCCTTCCTACATTCTCGACCCCGCGTGTGGTGTGCGCAGGCCAAGTACCAGGAGCTCCTGCCGAACGTTTCGCACTGGCAGCCCAGCCCGTTGCTCTTGCGTCTGGCTGAGACAGGACAGACCGTTTCCGCCTACTATGCCAACAAGGCCATCAACAGCCGACTCTGATGCTATTGTATTCGATGTCGCGCGTGCGTGTGCGTTTGTAAGGTTTTGGTGCCTAGGACATGCAGCGAGTTGGTGCGTGTTGATGATCGTGTCTAGTCGTTGTACTGTACAGTAGCAGGTTTGGGTGAAGGTGGAACGTCGGGGATGGGTGAGTGACGGGCTACTCCTTAGACGATTGACAGGCTTTTGGATTGTCCTGGCTGCACAAGGCGCGCCCCAAGGGCTGGTCCTGCGTGATTTGGTTGTGGTACTTGCCTCTGCTGCATTTTTTGTGGGAATCTCTCTGACAAACGTACAGGCGACATGGACAGAAGGTGTAGGAGTTTCTGTAGCGAGCCCAGACCGCACTAAACGATGGGAAGATGCCACTACTCCTAGGGGAGCGGGAAACAAAACGGACACATTTGCTAGTCTACGGTGTACACGAACAAACTACAGTAGGACTACGCTTGCCGCGACAAAACTTGTACAAGTAGTACGGCACAAATGAGCCTGTCAAGTCGCACGACGGCGTTCACCCATCCATGGTCGAGAGAACTCCCGGCGACAGGTTTGGAAGTGCATCAACCTGCGTTCTACTGCTGTAGTTGACATCAGCTCGGTGCGAAAGGTGCTGCTGTTGTGCTTGCAAAATATGACAAAATGATATTTCTTGTTCGGACAACATAATAAGTCATGTGCTGTTAAATTCTCGGCACACAGGGAAGACGAAGAATTGTGCAGCGACCGGAAAAGTCCATGGAATCCACTTCCTTCAAGCCCTTGATAATACCGAAGGCATCTCTAGGCAATGTTAAACCTTCCTGACGCGATTTCAGAGAACCAACACAACCAACCAGTTGGGTTCCAACTCAGAGTACACATAATAGTCAAACGTGGAACTCCCTCGACACACCCTGGCGACAAGGCCTGTTTCAAGCGCCCCCCGCCGATGTAAGGAAGACCTCCACATTCCACAACATTTTCTCGAGCCCACCAGTTTAAACTCACATACAAGGCCGTCCTTCTTCCCACGGCCCATCCATTCCACACGGAAAAATCGACGAGTTCCAAAAAGCAAAAGGCCGCACAAACGAAGGATGCGGGTTAGCATTATGCCGCTATCGAGAGGCGTTCAGTAGGCAGGCGTCGTCACCATGACAATGCGGTCGGTGCCCTTGCGGCACTGCCACATACAAACTACCATCGCCCCTTGTCCACCCGTCCGATTCCTACCATTCAGGGTTAGTTTTGTCTTGGCGAAGAAAAAACGCCAAGGGTACGCACGAAAAACCACAAACAGCAGTGTGGCCGTGGCGTGCATCGCCAAAATCCCCCAATTAACCGCACTGCAACGTCTGCAGGGCCACCCCCACTTGCATGCCTTGTCTAAACACGCGTACGCATATGCATACGTGCACTGAGAGTTCAACACATGAGCCCCAGACAAAGGATAAATATGGTACCATGGTACAGAATGAAAAGGCCCGCCAAACAAGTGCGACGGCTGACAACTCAACACAAAACACCGGAGGGTCGACGACAGGCTTGGACAAACAGAATCCCTAGACTTGTCTATCTGCCTGTCTGTGTCGCCGCCCCCTTCTTGCTCCCCCGCCATCCAAAAAGCAACGTAAAACACAAGCAGTGGGGGTGAGATCAAGAACCAGCACCACGTCGTCCCCGGCCATGGCCCCTAACAACTGCTGCTGCTGCTGCTGCTGCTGCTGCTGCTGCGGGATACAAACAACAGCCGTGTGACTCGTGGGCCGTACTCTCCCGGGGGGGGGGGCTGGTCACTAACCATCCAAACAATAAATATGTACCCAAAAATATCCCCTGCGCGCGCGCCGCCTCCGAACTCTCCACCTCTTCTACAAAGGGGAGCCCTCGCAACCTAGTGCCGCTATAAAAGAGAGCGACAAAATATAATCGACGGGGCCCCCGAGGTGACGAGTGACGAGAAACGAAAAAAATACATCTGCGGCGGTCGCTCTAAAAATAAATTTGCCCAGGCAGACAGGAGCGGGCCTTAGCTCTTGGCGTCGGAACTGGTACCTGCCTCGGAACCGCAAAACTAGAAGGTTCCTTCCAGGATTTTCTTCCAGAAGGTTCTTCTATTATTCCAGAAGGATTCTTCTAGAGGGTTCTCTTATAAGGTTCTTCTAGACGGTTCTTTCTAGAAGATTCTTCTACAAGGTTCTTCTAAAATGTTTTTCAAGAAGAACCTTCTAGAATGTCTCTTCTGCCGCGCTGACGCCCTTGAGATCAAGCAACTCTTGCTCTCTTGCGGCGAGGATTGCAGACAGCCGTTCGATCTCGCTAAGGTACGAATCGTTCTCGGTCCTCAAGACCGCGTTCTCATCCGAAAGGCCCTTTTGCTGTCGCTCCATCTCCTCCAACAAGTCCATGCATTCCGCTGCGCGTAACCAGCACCAACACCAACGCGTGGGCGAACGATGGGAAAGGAGGGCGGTGGTGGGTAAAAAAACGAGCGTGTACGAACGAGACAAAGCCAACCACAGGATAGGATGATGAGATAGGATTGACCGAGACCAACGGGGAAAAATTACACGCGGCACTCAGGAGGGCGCTACCACCGTGAAGCCAAGCCCGGTCAACACGTCATATTACAAGAAAAAAACGCCACGGCTGTTGGGGTTGTCACGCTCGTCGTGCTACTGAGGGCACATACTGGTCACGGAGGCTTTCATGCTCAATAGCCCATTCTACACCAACACTGCAGCGTTTGTGGGGCAGGATTTTCTCACCGATATCAGCCTCCTTTTCCTCGAGCTCCCTCTGCAGGAAGTTGCTATCCGCCTGAGACAAGGCCGTGCCTATCTCCACCTCCTGCAGCTTCTGCCGCAGCTCCTCCACTTCCTGGACACAGTTTGTTTTCAGGCCATCACCATGCACGAAAAGAATCGACGCGTTAACAACGGTACAAGAGGTGCACAACCAGACACGCGCAACACATCGATCGGTGTCCAGCACCAGACGAAATACGAGACATTAATGTCCGTGACGAGACACCTTGGACGGCGTTTGCACGTCCATGCCAACAACCTTAGTTTTCAGGTACCACGGCTACCGCGAGCGAGCGAGCACTCGATTGAGATAACGGTACTCGACTGCACTACTAGGTACATTCCCGATGACGACGACGAGGCCCGTCAGCGACTGCTTTTTCTTGCTTGGGGTCGGACTATTTAACGCGTAACGTACGGAAAAGTACATGACAGTCTCGCCGACCGGCAAACCAACCCCGTCCCACACGGGAACGAAATTGACGCGAGCTCGACCTCGGCCACCACTATAGTAGAGTTGCTGCAGCCCAGGGCTTCGTACACAACAACACGAGAACGAAAGTTGCAGATTTAGCGTCAGGTATTTTCGAAAACTACTAACATCGAGCCCCGCGATGTACCGCGTTTTGCGCCATAATTTTGGACGAGCGTCACTACTCGAACACAGGCGGCTGCAGCAGCACCAGCAGGAGCAACTTGGCCAACAGCAACCCACTGCTGTCGCTCGACAACCCCTGTGTAGCCAAATATTGGCGTCGCCCACTCAGAGGTGAGCAAAAAAATGACGGCGTCGCATAATACAAAGTACGTACCTGGCCGCCCTTACTCGCCGACCCCGGGGTGCCTTCCTGGTGTGCAACTCCCACCACCCCCGCCTTCCGCGCCCGCTTTTTATTTAGGAAAGTCCTGAGCTCCATATGAACATGCTCCAGCTCTTCCTCGAGATCTACTCCAGCCAGCGACGCTGCCGCGGAACCCCCTCTAGAGGCACGCTCTGCGGCTGCTGCTGCCGCCTTGCCGGTGCCCGTGGGCAAGTTGGCGGCGGATTTCGCCCTCAGGCCTAGGCCCCCCATCCGCGTTGGCGATGTGTCCGCCCCCGTGGCTTTGAGGTCCAGTGGCGGTGGTCGCCTTTGGCAAGACACGGGTAGCGCCACCCAGCAAAGGAGGAGATGTTGTGCAACAACGCGGGCAGCCGTCAATCAAGATTTAAATTTGTTAGCTGTAAGCACAGCAACTGCGACAGAATTTGGCGCCAGGGCATAGTTTTCCTACCACGCGGCTAAACGTAAAGCTCTGTCCGGCAGGGTAGAAATCGACACCATCTCCCGGGAAATCACTGAGCATAAAAATAAGCACGTCAACAACGGCAACGCCCCGAGTAAATCCATTCCTTCCGACCCACCCCTCACACTCACCCGTTGGCGGGACTCTCGCTGCTACTCCCGGCACTACCCGCCACAGTCGGTGGTGTTCGTACAAGAGCGTCTTCCCCCCTCGAGTCATCCTTCCACCCCCATCTGTCCGATTGCCGCCGAGCTTGCGCCGCCCTCGCCGTCATTGGTCTCCTCCCCTTACCCCCGCCCTCCTCCCCCAGAGCCCCGAGCCCGCCTCCCGTACCCCCGCCGCCGCCGTTCCACATCTTGGTGAAGGAGTTGGACGAGTCTCGTGCCGAGAAGACTGGCTTGGTATCGAAGAAGCTCGTGCTCTGCCGCCGTGTGAGCAGGTCCGTGCGGTCCATCTTAGGGGGTATCCGTGATCGACTACCTCTGTCGCCCTCATCCACGTCGCTCCCACCCGACGTGCCCGCACCCCCGCCGCCGCCCGCCTTCTTGCCCTCCACGTCCTCCCTCCCGCTGCTGTCTGAAGGGCCCCCGGTCTCTCGCGCCGCGATGGTGGCAGCAGAGACGACTGCTCCCGGCGCCAGCTTTTTCACCTTCCGGGAGCTGAGGATGAGGCGCTCGATGTGCGTGATGGTGTTCTGAAGCTGCATCTCGGTGTCGTCCACCTCATCAAACACGTCGCTCTCGCCGCCCTCGCCGCCTCCGGGGGTCCTCACAGAGTGAGACCCGTTGGAGGAGTGTGGGGACGCTGATAGCCGGGCCATCGCGGGGGGCAACGCTGCGGCTTCCTCCGCTTTTTCCTGTTTGGGTGCGATGCGGTGGTTCAGCATGAGAGAGAAGAGAGCAGTCAACACGCGAAAAGGACGGAACGCAGAGTTGAGCGGCGTATCCAAATACACTAATAGACGTCTACCAAAGAACAAAAATGCCCAACAACTCGCGTCCCATGATATCAATCACGCTGGAGAGCGACCAACGCCGTGATACCAGAGAATAATCCCCTCGTATCCGCATGTTCGAACCAAGTATGCTATGAGGAAGCCAGGTTGACACGCTCGACCCTTCCCGCAAAACCCTCGGCCTGTTCAGAAAAGGAAAGGATACATGTAGTAATTGCCGGGCTTCATCGTCCCCCCGTGCATCCTCACCTTAGCCCGCGCCAGCTCCTCCCGTAGCTCGGCAATCTCCTCCACGTACTTCTTCAGGAGAGTCTGTGGCGACGACAAGACAATAACCACGAGCAGACCAACACGTAGGATGATGACAATACATCACCAAAACTTCAGGCAAATCGCAACAAAAAAACTGCGTAGTTGAACGCGTGCTTAACTACAGCAGAGAGCGACGGTGATTTCAAGTAGGAACTGGGCGCCATAAGATAGAAGGAATGGGATGCGCTGCGGTTACTGCACCCCATACCGGTGTGGTGGCAGAAACGTGACTGTTCGCGTGCTGGCAAGGACGGCACGTCATCAGCGCCAACAGCAACCTTGCAGGCACACAAAACAGCCAGGCTACAGTGTCAGGGGTCCTCAGAAATCGATACCCTGTTGTCCCCAGAGTACACTCGGTTCAGGCCGCTGCTGAGCGCCCTTCCAATATCCGTGCTGCTGTCTGGGTCCAACCTACGCGGCAGGGTCACGCGCCAAATAATCCCACCTTATCATTGGAAACCTCGTTGATGGCGGCGTGGTTCTTCATTCGCTTGGCGCGGTTGGCAAACTTGAGGGTATTGTGAGTTTCATCGCTGCTCAAGAGCGCTCCCGTGACCGTGCAAATGATGGTTATCTTCGCGTTACCGCCGAGACTTGGCTGGAGTAATCGCGTCAGCTTGGAATCTCGGTAGGGGATGTACCCTCCCCGGTCCGCTGGTTTGTTACGGTAAGGTGGGAGGTCAACAAAATAGGCAAGGACAGGAGAGAGAAGGTTCGGTGGCAAGCGGTGTGCCTTGTCGCTGAACACAATGACAACGTGCTTCTCGTCATCGGGCATGTATCCCACGCCAGCACCCCATCTTCTTAATAAGGCAAACCAGCCTAAAAAACAGTCTTTATTAAAAGAGAGTGACTACATGAATACCTGCTAACCACGAGACCAACGAATGTGCAACCCTGCCTAACCAACATGCCTGGCGTCTCGACTGCTTATCATAGCCGCAATCTGCCCTTCCTGCAATATAACACGCTCTCGTCCTGCGTCACGTAAAAAACACGTACGGAACCATCGGCCAAGCCCTCTTCCTCCCCTCTCACCTTCCTCCGTGAGCATGCTAACCACCTTTCCGAGCGTCAAGAGCGACTTGTTGATGAAACCCCCCTCAATCTGCCGCTGTCCGTGCGTGTTCGCCAGTCGCACGCTCTCCGACCCCGCCAGGTCAACCAGGCTCAGTGTGCTCACCACAGACCGCCCCCCCTTGCTAGATCGACTCCGGCTCTCGATCACCATGCGGAAGATGGTGTGGGACCGGGAAGAGTTCTGCAGGGGGAGGGGGTTCAAGCGGATGAATCACCGCCAGACATCAAGACGACACCCAGAGAAAGTCCACAGCGTTCGCGACGCTCTCTATGTAAGCACAAAGGCTGCAGATTCGTGACAACACCGAGAAGACAAGAGAGCACGACTGCCGCAAATCTCCTCCATCCTCCAAGTGGCACCCTAGGGGTTCGGCAGCCAAGAGACCCAGCAATGCGCAGCTGTCGTTCGTTGCTGCTCGCCGGTGGAGACATTCATACTCCTAACAATCACCTTGTTGGCGTCCGTAGAACCCACGTGTCGCTGAGCCTCTCCCGCCGAGATAAGGGCGTACACTTGCTGAGGACTAATCACCACTTCTTCTTTCACCCCTTGCAGCTGCACCCCCAGCTTCTTGCTCTCGAGGATGCGCACGTTGGCCATTGTTGACGCCGGGCAGAGGAGGTCGTTGATCTGCTCGTTGTAGATCTCGAGGTAGGACACGCGGAATAGGAACTCCCTTGGGAGGCGTGAACAGGGGCCCAATAAGGGGGGGGGGGAGGGTCAACAACAACTATTACAAAGGTTTTGAGTGGCGTACGGGGTGGGGGGGGGGGGGGGGGGGC